AAACCAATATTGGTTTTAATTAATACTTAAATACTTGATATTAAATATAAGTTCCCCCCCATGTCAGACTCAGTGGACTTGAGCAGTTCGGGTATTAGGCTGGGAGGGGGGAGTCCCTGGTTCAAGTCCCCTTCAAATTGGGCCAGCCCCTCACTTTCAATCTACCTTGTAGGATTCTTGTTATGGGGTTAGAACTGGAGGAGAAAAAGCAATTTGCAGCATCTTGGGTAAACGGGGAGAGAAATACATTTTACCAATTCTCTGCCCCCTCTTTGAATCAATGGGATCTTTCAGTTTGCATTTCTCTGAGTTGTTTCCGTTTATACATTTGATTCCTTTAGCTCTTCTGTTATCATCTTACAATAAATTCATTTATATTTTTAAACACAATTATCTGATTTAATCCTGAGTATACTCCTTGCTGTTCTACAATGCAGTCCAAGACAAATGACCAGTCCTGAAAATGATCGGCAGTCAGTTCTTGCCAGTTACTGCGTGATGCCATTCGAGCAAGACCCTTCTCTGGAGCTTTAGAAGCCAGACGCTGCTTCTCTGAATAAATGAAATAGCCACTCATTTGTTGTTCTCCCTGCATCTGCTTCCTGGCCCCTGACTTCAGGGCTCCCCAAGCCAGTTTGAGGAGTGTTGGTTAAAACCATCCCAGAATCAGATGTATTCATCCACAACTCAGCCTGCTGCATGCTTAATGGAATTTGGGGACTTTTTTCATTGGGAGATTCTGCCAAATTGTAATATTCTCCCTGCCCCCCTTTTCTAGCCGGATACAAACCTCCATCACCAGTTCCAGTCTGGGGTCTGCTGATGAGAACTCCATGGCTCAGGCAGATGACAACCTGAAGACCCTTCACTTGGAGCTCACGGAGACCTGCCTCGACATGATGGCCCGATACGTCTTTTCAAACTTTACAGCTGTGCCCAAAAGGTTGAAGTAGCTGCTTTCCTCTGATGTTTGCATGTAGTTCATCCCAGCAGAGGCCTACACCTGAATCATTAAGTGCTGGGCTCGGTGCAAACTGTAGTCTCTGACTATAGGCACTTCAGTCTGATTATCAAGACCGTTGGAGTCTTTAGAGTGATTTTGAAGAGATCATTTGCTTGGGGGACCAAAAATCAGTTGAGAATCATGGCTCCTTGATTCATTTACTGTGGGTTTTTCCTTCCAGAGGTGGGAGTGGGGATATAGAAGGCTCCTTTGGGAATTTTTAAATGACTTTTGAAATCTCCCTATTCAAAGAGACTGATAAGATCTTTATCCTTGTTTTCTGGGGGCTTTTAGGTCTCCAGTGGGTGAGTTCCTCTTGGCTGGAGGGAGGACCAAGACGTGGCTGGTGGGTAACAAGCTCGTTACAATCACTACAAGTGTTGGGACAGGAACCAGGTCCCTCCTGGGCCTTGACCATGGAGAGCTCCACAATGGCACAGAATCCAGGTGAGCTGCCTACAGTTCTCTCACTTTGCAGGCCCTTTTTCAAGTAAGAGGCACAGAAAATGAACGACTAAATCTTATGATTGCAAGGGAAGCTAGCGTTTTTATCTAGTTTTTAAACATGGGCATTGTTTAGATGGTCAAGATGGCCACCATGAAGGTGGCCTAAATCTCACGGCAGGGATGGAGCTTGGAAGGAATGATCTGGTTCTGTACCAGTCCTTGGAGTTCTCCAGGGTGCTCTGCCACCATTATGGGCTTCTTGTCCAGGCCACAATAGCACAACAGAAAATTATGCTGTAAACAAATTTGCCAACATTGATTGAAATATCTGTATGCATAAAACATTGTGGTTCATCACAAACAAGCAACAGTGCTTGTCATGATCCCACTGCCCAACTAATGTCCTATCATGCATGGACACAGGAAGCCTATTCTCGGCATAGCCCAAAGTCCATCTTGTCCTATGTTTCCTGTTCTGACTGCCAGTTTCCAGTTGATCTCTGAACTGGATCTTCCAAGGCATGATCTGGGAATCTTCTTTCTGTGTATAAATCCTGAGCTCTGACTCCTTCCTATAATGCTGCCATTTTAAGGGTCAAACCAAAAGAATCTCCTGTTTCCTGATGAATTGACTGTATGGTTGATTTTGATTCCCAGTTCAGATCACAGCTTGCAAGTGAGACAGTCGAAGGAGGCACCAGCGAAACTCGAGTCTCAGGCTGGCCCACAGGTGGTTCGAACCCGCAACCGAGTCAGGTCCATGTCAGGTAAGGAGCCTCCCAGAATCTCTGTGAAATATGTGAATGAATTTGGGGATGGCAAAGCATACTTGGAATTGAGGTGGTTAATCACTTAAAAGAATAAGCACTGCTGAGCTGGGAGCCTCATACCATCTAAGGCAGTGTTGTCCAAACTTGGCCACTTTAAGATGAGTGGACTTCAACTCCCAGAATTCCTCAGCCAGCATGATTCCTTAGATCAGTGTTGTCCAAACTTGGCCACTTTAAGATGAGTGGACTTCAACTCCCAGAATTCCTCAGCCAGCATGATTCCCAGCAGAATTCTGGGAGTTGAAGTCCACTCATCTTAAAGTGGCCAAGTTTGGACAACACTGATCTAAGGATATCCTGCAGTGAAATAACATTGAACTGAAAATGATGGGGTTGAACCTTGATCTCCTGATGATCACATTAGCAATAACAAAACGTGCATTGTCAGGTTCTGGTTTTTTGATCCTTGTGCCTGAGCATTCTGTAATTTCAGGAAGGGATCACTTTCCAAGATTTGTCTGAGGAACCATAGCGTGAAGCTTCCTGATCATCGGAATGCAGGTGGCCATCCACAAGGCCAATAGCTTGAAATGACTTTGCCTGTGGCTTGGAAGCTAAAAGCTAGGAGACTGAGGTTCCTCTGCTAAAGGTCTCATGCCTTTAAACAAGAGTAGCCTTAGGTACTTTAGACTACAGCTCCCATAAAACCCTGTCAGAGAGGCTAGTGATTACGGCTGGTGGGAGTTGAAGTCCAGAATGTCTGAAGGCACCAGGTTGCCTATCCCTGCCCTAAATATCAGCTAGATCTCACAACATGTTAAATCCTGTTAACAAAAGCCATATTACTGTGATTACACGGCCTGTTATTCCCAAACAAATCAACATGCTAAGTCAGTGACTGAGTTTGTATGATATGCTGAACCACAAACTCCCCAACTCCATTTTAACCTTGTTAAACTGAGTTGCATGAACCCATCTTAGAGTCTGCAGCTGTTGCTGAGATTGCTTTAATCGGGACACAGCGAGACCTCTGGGCTTACACTGCAAGACTTCTGCAAGATGGCCTAGACTGAGCCCTGGAGGTGGATGCATGGAGTGGAACCCCACCCTTTCCTGAGCATGGATGCGCACCCATGGGCTCTCAGCCATCGCTTTCACCCTCCCTTCGTATGCCCCTGACGTGCTGCCCTGATGCTCACTTCTGGAGGGGAGGAGACAAAAACAGTTCTGCGGAGCAGCCTGGCCACGGGGGCCTTGCCCAGTGGGGAAGCCGGGCTCCTCTGGGCTTCTTAGGATGCCCAGGAGGAGGGGAAGGAGCACGCCTGCGCCTTGGTATGAAAGAGGGGTGGACTGAATGAAAAGCAGCTGCGTGTTCTATTGGCATGGAAAGGCACGTGTACGTTTGTGTGTGCATTTTCAACGCCACTTCCTAGGAAAGGGGTTGCCTGTTTCTACTTTAGTTAGCCAGCTGGACTTGTACCTTCTGCATTGCTCTTCTGTTCTTTGATTCAGCCTTAAATCAAAATGCAGCTCTCTGAATTCCTACTCTTACGCAGGAGGCCATGCGCTGCGGGTCGGTGCTCTGGACAGCTCTGCCTCTCACTTCCCAGCCAGCACAGTGCCCCAGGCACCCCCAAGCTCTCCTGCACCTGCCGCCCAAACCGAGAAGGCCAACTTGGCTGCTTATGTCCCCCTCCTGACTCAAGGCTGGGCAGAAATATTGGTGCGGAGGCCAACAGGTAGGAGCACAACATGCTGATAGAATGTTGGCAAGTATGATGCGCATCTTAGTCACATTGCGGTCTCTTGTTACATCTTGATTGGGGTTACGCTGATGTAGCTAGCACCGGGACAGTGTGCTTGTATGCCTTCCAGGGGGGTGGGGACAGCTGGGAGATGGGTGGGTGCTCTCTATTAGGAAGCTCTACTGACATACATTTTCCAGAGGGTTGTGGAGAACAGAAGATGATCCTGTGGAAGGGATTTTAGAAGGGGCTGAAGTGTCTGTGCAGTGAGCTGAGGGTTTGGGGGCTAGGCTTGGAGGCACTCTGGTTTTCCTTGGGAGCTTAGCAAGGATTCTCTACCATGGCATGGACAAACTTCCAGGAACTGTGTCTTGCTCCTTGCTCTTCATTGTCTAGTATTCTGCAGGGACGAGGGATTGAAATTCACCAGTAGAATCCCTGATGTACGTGCAGCAGCCTACAGTTGGCAGAAACTCCAATCTGGGAGCTGTGCTGGGAAAGAAGTATTACAGATTGCTGGTTCCTGGAAGGGCCAACTTCAGTCAGGCTGGATTAAGGATGAGGAATTCAGATTCTTTGGGGAGCTGGATTTCAGTTGCCTCAGCCAGTCTAGCCACTGGTCAAGTTGGGAAATCCAGAGATTCCAGGGGCAGATGGGTCAAAATAGCTCTGAGGCCAATCATGTGAAAGGAAGCTTCTGGGAAAACCCCCTAGAAAGAGGCTTTTTTCTTCTCTTTCTAGATAAGGCTGCCCAGCGTGATGGAGCTCTCTGTAACTACATTCTTAGGGGACTTCTCTTTCCTCAGGTAACACCAGCTGGTTGATGAGCCTGGAAAATCCACTGAGCCCCTTTTCTTCAGATATCAACAACATGCCCCTGCAGGAGCTCTCCAATGCCCTCATGGCAGCAGAGCGTTTCAAGGAGCATCGTGAGACGGCCTTGTACAAGTCCCTCTCAGTCCCGTCCTCCAGCTTGTCCACAGGAACAGCCAAGCCGTCTCTCCTGCAGCGCTCCAACACAGGTGAGGCAAAGCTTGGGAGGCCTGGTGTGCCACCCCAATGGAGCCCACAAGAAGCAAATTCTTCCCAGCGGGGCCACGGCTGCTGTCTGGTTTCACTTCAAAGGAGTTGTCTTGCCCAGAAAATGTTGAAGCATCCATCTTCCTAAAAGGAAGACATGATCGATTCGGGGTAGTCTGAGAGCTGTAAATAATCATGTTAAAAGTCTCTTTTAAAAAGCCTTCAAAAGCACATACTGAATAAGTTAAAGCATTTAATGTAGAAGCGCAGGATAAAAATATAAATTCATTAGGCGTGGTTGCATATATTAATTTGATTTGTTTTGTTGAACTTTGGTGGGCTATAAAAAGTAGCAGGAGATCCTTCCTGCTGCTCTCCCCACATGGGACTAAAACCTACATTATCTCTAGCCAGGTGTTCTGTGTGACCTCAGGATAGGAAGCAGGGGCACATTGGACCAAGACATTCTATGGGAAGGACTGTACTGCCCAGGAGATGCCTGCTTTAGTACAAGGTCTGTACTAAAGAGCTCCACTCAGAAATGGAAGAGATTTTTAAGCCTTGAGAACCAGAAAGTTTAAGAAGAAAAAGAAGGGCCTGTCCAGTGCATTAATCACACCAGGCAGGGCAAGCATCAGCTTCAGTAATTGATTGATCTGGATGCTCCCAGCAAAGGCCTCTTTATATCCACTTCTCTGCTAGAAGGGGAATTGATGGCAGGGCTCCCCCTAGATTCCATAAGTCCTCATCCCATCCCTAGTTTCATCCGTCAGCTTCCTCCAGGTCCTCAGTCAGCAGAAGCAGGTACTCTGGATCGGGCCAGTCAGTTACTTCTTTCTCTGAGGCAACTCAGCAACGTCTTTTTCATTTGAGACAACCAAGCTCACCCCAGGCATCTCAGCTGTCATTAACTTCAGTCTCCACTCTGGGCATCAGTGCAGAACGAGATCTGCCCTCTGCTGTGTAGGAGAGCCTGTACTTGACTGACTGCAGGTCTAGTGAGGGAGCTTCATTTCCTCCAAGAAGATAATAGTGCCAGCTACTGATGCACGTTTGTGTAATTTCAGCCAGAGTGGGTCAGGCCCTTGCACTGTGTCTCCTTCATGCCTTTGGCCCTTCAGCCATATCCTCGGGGTAGAATACTAAAGAGTCTTCTCCATTACTGGCCCATCTCTAGAGCCTGGGACTTTTAGAGAATTGGCAGCTGTGCTGGTTTACAATGCCCAGCAGCCATTGAATGAATATCAGTCAGCATGCCTGCTTCTCTTTCTTTACTGGCGATTGGCAATCAAATGCCTCTTTTGCCATTGTATAGTCTCCAGTCTTACAATGAATGTGGTCTCCATGTGGTGCATTTGCTTGACCTTGAAGTCCGACAGCCAGAGTAACCTCTGCAAATGTAGTTTTCCATCTGGTGCAGGACTCAGTGGTTCTGATACTCCCATTTGATGAAGATGACAAGGCTCTTGGTCTATGTCGTGGTCAATGACAGCCATCTCAGAGCAGCTTGAGAAATTATATCAAGTGCAGGAAGAGGCTGCACTTCTCCACACCCACCCTCAATGCCACCATAGCTAAGGTGGTTCCGTATTGTCCAACCCCCATGAGCAAACACCTCTGGTGGGCAAGGTGGGGGGGGGGTAAAGATCTCAGCTCCACTGACAGAAAACCCTGTACCTCAAGGGCTCTGTCTCTGTAGATCAGGAACAACTGGGACTCCCTGGCTAAGTGCCACCCTTTCCTGTGGGGGAAAGCATCTTTCCTCAACTTTTTACAAGATGGTAAAAGGAAGATCATCAAGGGGACTCAAGTTGACTAAGGGGGGCAATGGGATTTCTTCAGAAGAGATACTGTTTCAAGTTTTCTCTTTTCTACAAAGAAATCATTCCTGATGATTTTTAACTATCAGGGACCTGGTGGAAGAGCAGTTTTTTTCTAGGGTCTATTCCAGAAAGGGCCAACTCAGAAGTTTAAGGAGATGTCCGCCTTTCTCTGAAAGCCTTCCACAGTTTTATAGCAGGTAATGACCGATGAGAGTCACAGGAACTGAAGTGAATTATTTCACTTAATAGTCTACTTTCTTTTTTATTATATTTCTTTTGAACTCCTTAACTTTCTTTAATTATGAGATTTATGAATTTATCCTTTTACAATCCAGGAGGACAGGCTAATTAACTTCTCAAACTTTATTTTTCACTGCTGAATAGTCTAATAATTTTTAAACAGTTTTAGAGCTACAGATTTGCTTAGAAGAAGGATAAGGATGGTTATGGATTATATCAGATCAATACAGTAAGGATCTGTATTCCTTTGATTTTATTTACTTCACTGTTTTTTTTCCTTTTGCAAGAAACCCAAAGAGAAACTCAATTTAATTTTTTAAAAATGTGAATTATTTGTATAATTCATAAATTAACTTGATAGCTGATATGTTCAGTATCAAAATATATTAAATGAATATTAGCCCATTTAGAAGGAAGAATTGAAGCTAAAAACAGGGATTTATGTGCATATAAAAAGAGTAATGTAAACCTGTTGGAATATAAATATCTCAGTCAAAAATTTACAGCCTCAGGCAGACAAAAAAAAAAAATTCCTGAAAAACATACTATGGAATTTGGAATAACAAATCCAAGATAAAGAAGGGAGAATAATATGTTTTCAGACTGAATTTGAGAAAATAACCATTGTTTCCATTTTTATCCCAAATGACAATAAAATGTCACTTCTTGAAACTGCAGAGGGAGACAATCTGATTCTTGGAGATAGATAGATAGATATATTTCCAAATATGGAGAAATATGCTTTATCTAAAAAGAATTCCCTCAAAATGTTTTAGACTATATGTCACTATTAATCTCTTTTTGATACTTGGAGGCACAAATATCCTGCAGAGAAAGGATATTCGCTAGTTCATAAAACTCACTCTTGAATAGATATGCGCTAGATTTCTCAATCAATGTTATTTGTTCTCATAGATGTCAAAATTTTAGCTCCTACATATGCAGATCATAACTCAATTATTATAAGATTAAACAGAGGAACCTCTAGATCAAAGAAGTGGAGAATTAGCAAATCTTTACTATTACAAGAGGACTTCAGATTGAAGTGCCAATAGGAATTAAAGAGCTTCTTCCAAATTAATTTAACCACTGATATCTTTTCTATCTACAATATGGAACATTAGCAACATATTTTTAAGAGGATTGTTTGCCTTCCTGGCATCAAATAGAAAGAAAACTATCCAAAATCAAGGATATATTGGTGAATGAACTGAACCGATTAAAATTAAGACACAAGCGTAACCCAGTTTTGGATTTAGAACAAAAGATTAAAGTGATTTGTAATCAATCAGATGTAATGGAAATAGATCACAGCTACAAGAAGTTGCACTTTTGATAATGTCAGACAGATTGTAAGAGGATCAAGACAGAAGAACTATTCTATTTGGGATGAAACTAGACGTGTCTACAGTGAAGGACATGATGGAGCAATTGTTTGATGGTATTCAAGATTATATAGTAAACAAGCATCTGATCTGGAAAAAAATGGAAAGAGTACTTGAATATAATTCTACTTACAAAATTTACAGGTCAAGAAAAGGAAGTTCTCAATCAACCCATAACAGAAGTTAAAACTAAAGAAATAATAATAAATTAAAAAACTGAGAGTGAACAATGCTCCAGGATCTCTTCAATATACTGCAAGACTTTTCAAGAAAAGTCAATAAGGATAACATTCAAATGTTGACATGGAATTTAACATTTAAGAAAGAAGAACAATACTTGCACCAAATACTACCATTAAAAGGTTAAATACCTGGAATTTACTTGACAAAAAACAATAAAGACTTATTTAAAAATAATTATTTATAGATCTGGAAAAATAAAGTAGCAGATTTTTTTAAGGTGGAGAAAGTTAAAACTATCTTGGTTGGAAGAATTGCAACTGTTAAAATGAATGTTCTACTAAGGCTTAATTTTCAGTTCCAAATGATTCTGATAAAATTTTAAAACAACGCATTAAATAGCTGGCAGAGACAAGTAACAAATACATGGTCCAATAAAAAATCAAGGATTACATTTAAGATACAGTATTATAGGATTCAAAAGAATGAGATGCTCTGGCAGCCCTGAATGTAAAACAGTATTATCAAGCTATCTGTTTAATTTGGATTACAGATGGGATTATGAAAGATTATGAGAGCCTTTTCTGCTGTGGTGCCTGTCCTGTGGAACATCATCCCCCAGAACTTAGCTCGGCCCCGACCCTGCCAGCCTTTAGGAAGACATGGCTCTGCCACTGTGCTTGGGGGTCCGGCAATGGTGGGGAGCTTTTATAGTGGTGGTGTTGAGCTTGGTGCAAGGATGATGGCTGCTACCATGGTTTGTTTGTTTTAAAGTGATTATGTTTTATTTATTTATATTTCAAATTTAGTTACCACCCATCTCACAAAAAGTGACTCTATGTTTGTATATTGGTTTTAGACTTCATATGTTTGTATATTGGTTTTTAAGTTGTTTGTATTGGATTGCTGTTTCAACTGTTGTAAGCTGCCCAGAGTCACTTAGGTGAGAGGGTTGGCCATATAAATCAAATAAATAATACCCCATGGTTGGGTTGTCTCCACTGAGGGAAGAGGAGTCCCAGACAACTGGACAAATGTCTTTGGACTGATACAAACAGAAATAGACAACTTATAAGACATTATGCAACAATAAAAAGCATATTAAAATTTTGGATTAAATTCAGGAAAAGAATCAGTCCATTCTTGCTTCATTACTGAATATTTATGTTCATGAAGAGGAAAGCATAAGGAAATGTATTTAGTGAAGAGACCACAAACTATCAACTGCAAGATTTAATAAGACCAAGAAGAAATCTTTTGAGGTTTTCTCTTCAGAATGGTCAGAACCATTCAACCAATTTCGAGATTTTCAAGTAAGCTTCAAAGGAGCTACAAACACAAGGGAAAGTGACTGAAGTTGAAAAATCTTATAATACAAAATTTGGAGCAAATTGAGAAGTTAATTAGCCTGTCCTCCTGGATTGTAAAAGCATAAACTCATAAATCTCATAAAGAAATTAAGGAGTTCAAAAGAAATATAATAAAAAAGAAAGCAGACTATTGGGTGAAATAAATTCATCAGACATTCTTTTATC